CAGGGCACGGCCTCCGGTCGGCAGCCCGCTGTCGGTGTCCTTCGGCCCCAGGGGGTCGCCAACAGCCGGGGGCACGCACAGGGCCAAAATGGTCATTGGGGTCCTCCTCCCCCTCCTCCTTCTCCTCCTCCTCCTCCTCCTCCTCCTCCTCCTCCTCCTCCTCCTCCTCCTCCTCCTCCTCCCCCCCCTCCCCCGACCCCCCCCCCTTCACCGCACCACCTCCTCACGAGAACGAGCGAGCGAGATCCCCGCGCCGCTCCTCGTCCTCGTCAGCACTCTCCGGTTCCTCCCTCGGGTGCGCCACCTCCGCCCTCAGCAACTGCAGCGCCGCAAAGTCCTCGGGAGGCGCGCCTCCGATTCGCTCATCGTCGTCGTCACCACCACACTCAGCATCAGCCTCATCACCATCACCATCACCACCGCCATCACCATCACCATCACCATCGTCATCTTCATCATCATCTCCACCATCATCGTCATTCGTATTATGACAGCCAGGAGAATCAACGGCACAGTGCATAGTCATCATCATCATCATCATCATCATCATCATCAACAGCAGCATCATCATCATCATCAGAATCAGCATCGCCATCATCATCAGCATCAGCATCAACATCAGCATCAGCATCAGCATCAACAACAGCATCATCATCATCACAATCTTCATCAGCATCAACATCACCATCACCACCGTTACCACCATCACCACCATCACCATCATCACCAGAATCATCAGAATCATCATACTCCTCACCACCGACATCATCATCATCATCATCATCAGTATCATCGTCATCATCATCATGAGCAGCATGACCATAATCATGATCACCATCGTCATGATGATGATCATCATCATCAGCATCAGCATCATCATCATCATCATCATAATCATCATCATCATCATCATCATCATCATCATCATCATCATCATCATCATCATCATTATCATCATTATCATCGTCGTGGTTGTGGTCGTGTTCTTGGTGGTCGTCGTCATCGCCATCGTCGTGGTCGTCGTCGTGGTCGTCGAGGTCGTCGTCGTCGTCGTCATGGTCGTGGTCGCGGTCGCGGTCGTCGTACTTATCATCATCGTCATTGTCATCGTCCCCGTCATCAGCATCAGCATTATCATCGTCATGAGCGTCATCAGCATCAGCAGTGCCATCATGCCACCACAACCATCAGGAGCATCATAATCGACGTCGTATCTTCTTCGGGATCAGTGTCGTCTTCCTGATCCACCACACTCATCGTGACCACCATCATGCCATCACCGCATCATCCTTACCATTGGCTCGCCATTCTCGCCGCCATGAGAGATATGTTGCTGACCTGGCTCGCGACCGATCCGATAATGGGAATCCGCATCTGATCACCTGATTGCCCCGCGACACAACATACGCCCAGGTCGCCTCCTGTGGGGTCTGGCGGTGGCCGGACCAGCTCACAACGAGCCCTCGCGGTGCCTCGCAACCGGCACCGACGATGAACGGACGCCGCCTTGACCTCGCTGGCTGCAACAAGCAGTAGACGGATGCGCGCCCGGAGCACAGGGATGCGTGGTGAGGATGCAGGGCCCCTGGACGCCCGCGTCGACGCCGAAGTCGGAAGCCCATAGGGTTGTGGATGCCATGACGATGGACACCTTACCAATCCGATCATTGCATGAAAATGTGAAACACGAGACAGTATCCTAAACATGTTTATAGCATGTTTTACATGCTTAAGACATGTGTAAAACGTATGCTAGGCATCTGGGAATTCTTTGGCAACATGCTTCCTCTCCATTGATCGTCGACGAAGCAAGGATGCAAGGGCACCATCGGAAAATCAGACATCCTTATGATGCGGTTTGACTGTACGGCCAGAGTAATACTCTTCCTTCCCCCGAGGTGTAAAGCGCATTCGCACTGGCCTGCTAGCGGCGTCAGGGTACTTACGAGATCACGCGTTTGCAGCTGCTGTGAACAGCGAGGTGGGCGAACCAACAGATCACCCAGCCACGCACACCAAACACACACAGGCCGCGGCTGCTTCTGCCTCTCCCTCCCGGGGCGCGGCGCGCCGACATCAGGAGGCATCCAGGGACGGCAATCTCGACCTTGGAGGGCGTCCACATGGGGCCCTCCTTCTCCTCCTCCTCCTCCTCCTCCTCCTCCTCCTCCTCCTCCTCCTCCTCCCCCTCCTTCTCCTCCTCCTCCACACCTCCTCCACCTCCTCCTCCCCCGCCCCCTCCTCCTCCCCTCCTCCTCCTCCTCCGCCGCCGCCTCCCTCCTCCTCCACCGCCTCCTCCTCCCCCTCCCCTCCTCCTCCTCCTCCTCCTCCTCCTCCTCCTCCTCCTCCTCCTCCTCCTCCTCCTCCCGATAGATGGGCGTCAGAAGATCGCGCCACGTCGCGGATGCATCGGCAACGCACCGGCGGCGCCAGGACGTTTTTTTTATCCGCGGCCGCAGGAGAGGCACAGACGGCGGTCGAGCGGCGGCGGGGCGCGCCAGGGTAAAGTAGGGCACAATGGGAGGAGGAGGAGGAGGAGGAGGGAGGAGGAGGGAGGAGGAGGATGAGAGAGGAGGGAGGAGGAGGAGAGGAGGAGGAGGAGGAGGAGGAGGAGGAGGAGGAGGAGGAGAGAGGAGGAGGAGAGGAGGAGGAGGAGGAGGAGGGAGAAGGCCCCAACCCGACGAAGGCGGCCTCGAGATCTGAAGCCCCTTTCTGTTCGCTCCTCTTCCAGGGCGGGGCCGCAGATCCCGGCTGCGCCTCGAGGCTGGCGGCCCAGAGGGTGCTCGGCCCCCTGTCTGGGCCCCCGTGGCGGAAGACAATCGGAGACTTGGTCGCCAAGACGCCCAGCATGTCCCCAGGAGGCCACCAGGAGGCCCCCAAGACGCCCCGCGCCAAATCGGCAATAACTACACACACGCAGACACGACGGTAGGCGGCCAACAGCACACACGAAATCGTTCGTCGGAAGCAGCGCGCTCCCTCTTCTGGGGGCGGGGGGAATGGCGTAAGCGTCTCGAGTAGTTGCGACTGCTGCCCCTCACTTCCACCACCCCGAGTGAGAGAGCACACTGAGCTCGTGGCCACTGCGACACTCGAGGGGCTATGGTGGACGCAAAAGAGCTGGAAGCATTGCTAGTGGACCATGTGCGGCACATAGTGTTTAAAGCTCAGTAGTGAAGCTGTCCTGTTGAGTCATGTTGAGTCGTCCGTGACAAGCACACGTGCACACCCATAAGGAATGCCGTAATGGAATTCGTCACAAAACGATGTACACACCGCGGCCGCTGAAGCAGAAGAGCAACAGCAGCAACACGACATAACGAAACACCCAAAGGTCAATGGCATCCACCACCCGTCTGTTCGAGCACCAGCGACAGGCAAGACAGCACTCAGACTGACACCAAATTTTCCTCAGCTGTCAGCGCAGTGAGAGGCCGCATGCGTTAAGAGCTGCTTTATCCTCCCCCCTCCTACCTTGGAAGCGACCGAGGGGTCTGCACTGGAGAGGCTCCGAGAAAATCGGTCCAAAGGAGGGGACGAAAGATCCGCTCAAACTCAATTCCCAAACCCTTCCTGGGTTCGAGACTGACCAATTTTTCCAGCCGCGTCCAACCGTGTCGACGAGGGGGGCCCTTTCTCACACCGCTGATGGTCCGGACCAATGCTGCTGATCATTTTCTTAGGGTGGATGGCTCAGGGTGAAACCCATATGGGCTTTTGCGCCTCGAAAACCGATCCGTCTTGTGATTCACCTCTTGCAAATTCAAACCTCGAAACTCAATCGAAACGGCATTTCAGCTTTCACCCTTTGCCCTTCAGCCAAAGAAAATGCTCGGTGCTGCATCACCCCGGACCATCTCAGACCCCGAGCCATCTCCAACTCCTGCCCCTCCGCTCATGCGCCACCGCACGCTGGCCCCGCACAGCGGACGCCCCTTGTGTGACCGACGCTCCCCACGGGGGGGGGGGCGCAGAGGGGGGGCGGGGACAGACCCAGACCCCCTCGGGTAATGAAAAAATCATGACGGGAGGTTTTTCCTAATTTTCGGCATTTGGAGGCCCTAACCGGCCCTCGGGACCGTCCAAAAACGACTCGGGATGAAAAACCGGTCCCGTGGAATGGGTCGAGATCTGTGGGGGTCGACGCCATGAAAAAATCATGACGTCGGGGGTCTGGACAGAGGTGGGGCTGGAGGGAAAAACAATCGCTCCGAACGGCCCCCGGAGGAGGAAAAAAACGCCCCGAGCGGGAGCATCCGGCCGGGCCCGCTCCCCAGCCCCACCTCGGGGACGACCCCAGGAGGGCCCCAACATCGGATCGACAAGTCGGATCGGCGGTCGACATGAATCGGATCGGCGGAAATCGGCAGCCAAGTCTGGAGGAGTCGAATCGGCGGAAATCGGCAGAGTAGTAGTGCCTCATTGAGAAATCGGAATCCGAATCGGAATCCGAAGTCGAATCGAATCGGAATCGGAAGCCATCGAAATCGAATCGAATCGAATCGGAGGAATCGAAACGAGCCCTGTGACCCTCCCTCCACGGACCCCCGATCCCCGCCCTCTCCGCAGTCCTCCGGCGAGAAGGCCTTCTTCTCGTCCGCGAGGCGCTTCTCCTTCGCCCAGGGGGTGGGGTGGGGCGCGCGCCGCCCGCTGCGGGAAGAAGTGGGGCAGGAGGAAGCATCCTGCCCTATCCGTGATACCTCTTCCCTCTCCCTTCTCCTCCTCCTCCTCCTCCTCCTCTTCCTCCTCCTCGTCCTCTTCCTTCTCCTCATCCTTCTCGTCCCTCTCCTCCGCCTCCTCTTCGTCTGTCTCGTGTTCCTCCTCCCCTCCTCCCCTCCTCGTCCTCGTCCCTATCCCTCCTCCTCCTCCTTCCCCTCCTCCTCCTCCTCCCTCCTCCTCCTCCTGCCCGATCCATGATGCCTCATCTCTATCCCTCCTCGTCCTCCTCCTGATTTCCAGATCCCCAGATAAGCAGAAAGATCCACAGCATGTCGTAGAACAAATGCAAAAAAAAGGGACTGTCGGACAGCAGTAGAGACAAAAGCTCGTCCATCCCGCGCAGCTGGATGCTGCGCCCGAGAACATTCAATCTGGCGCTCCGGCCCTTGCCCTCCTTGAGCAGGGACAACGACTTCGCAGCATCCTCGTTCCTCGGCCTCCCAAGACATGGGCTGGGCAGAGGGTGCATCCGATGCCGAGCAGAGGCCCCGCACTGTGAGCACCAGATGATGGGCAGAGCGGCCTCGCCGTCCCCCCCCCACAGGGCCAACCAACACATCTGTAGGAGGCGACGCTGGAGCACGTGCTACCTCTGTCCAGACACCTCCCACACAGGAACTCTTCTACCGAAAGGAGCAATCCTGTGCTCACTGGGCTCGGGGACCAAGATTACACCACCGGCCCTGCCTCGACCCCTCTTGGCACCCGTCTTGGCCGAATCCCGACATGATGATGATGATCATCATCATCATCATCATCATCATCATCATCATCATCATAATCATAATCATCATCATCATCATCATCATCATCCTCATCCTCATCCTCATCCTCATCGTCATCGTCATCCTCATCCGCATCCTCATCATCACCACCACCACCACCACCATCATCATCATCATCATCATCATCATCATCATCATCATCGTCGACGTCGTGGTCGTCGTCGTCGTCATCATCATCACCACCACCACCATTATCATCATCATCATCATCATCATCATCGTCATCGTCATCATCATCATCATCATCATCCTCATCCTCATCCTCATCAGATCATCATCATCATCATCATCATCATCATCATCATAATCGTCATCATCATCATCAGCAGCAGCATCATCATCAATATTAGTGTCATCATCATCAGCATCATCATCGTCATCACCACCACCATCAGCATCGCCATCGCCATTACCATCACCATCACCATCAACATCATCATCATCATCATCATCATCATCATCATCAGCACCATCATCGTCATCATCATCAGCATCACAATCATCATCATTGACGTCGTCGAAATTAGTACCATCATCATCAGCATCATCATCGTCATCACCACCACCACCATCATCATCATCATGCCCATCACCATCACCATCGACATCATCATCATCATCATCATCATCATCATCATCATCATCATCATCATCATCATCATCATCATCATCATCATGGTCATCGTCATCATCATCATCATCATCATCATCATCATCATCATTATACTCATCCTGATCATCATCAGCATCACCATCATCATCTCACCATCGTCACCATCATCACCCTCACCATGACCATCACCATCACCATCACCTCCAACATCACCACCACAACCACCACCACCATCGTCATCAGCATCGGCATCATCACCAGCATCACCATCAGCATCATTGACGTCGTCGAAATTAGTACCATCATCATCAGCATCATCATCATCGTCATCACCACCACCATCATCATCATCATGCCCATCACCATCACCATCGGCATCATCATCATCATGGTCATCGTCATCATCATCATCATCAATATCATCATCCTGATCATCATCACCATCACCATCATCATCTCAACATCGTCACCATCATCACCCTCACCATGACCATCACCATCACCATCACCTCCAACATCACCACCACAACCACCACCACCATCGTCATCAGCATCGGCATCATCACCAGCATCACCATCATCATCATTGACGTCGTCGAAAGTAGTACCATCATCATCAGCATCATCATCGTCATCACCACCACCATCATCATCATGCCCATCACCATCACCATCACCATCGGCATCATCATCATCATGGTCATCGTCATCATCATCATCATCATCATCATCATCATCATTATCATCATCCTGATCATCATCACCATCACCATCATCATCTCAACATCGTCATCATCATCACCCTCACCATGACCTTGACCATCACCATCACCTCCAACATCACCATCACAACCACCACCACCATCGTCATCAGCATCGGCATCATCATCATCACCACCACCACCATCACCGCCATCGTCAGCATCAGCATCAGCATCAGCGTCAGCATCATCATCATCACCAGCATCATCATCATCATCATCATCGTCATCATCATCATCAACATCACCATCATCATCATCATCATTATCATCATCACCACCACCATCATCATCATCAGCATCGTCATCATCACCATCATCATCACAATCATCATACTCATCAGCATCATCATCACCGTCATCATCCTCATCAGCATCATCATCATCCTTCTCCTCCTCCTCCTCCTAATCATCATCATCACCATCACCACCCCCTCCAGCATCAGCAGCATCAGCATCATCATCGTCATCACCACCACCGACATTATCATCATCACCACCGCCATCATCGTCCTCATTGTCATCATCATCATCATCATCATCATCATCATCATCATCATCATCATCATCATCATAAAATCATCCTTATCGTCGTCGTCGTCATCGTCATCCTCATCAGCATCAGCACGGGCAACAGCATCATCATCATCAGAATCATCATCATCATCATGACCAGCATGATCATCATCATCAATCTTAGTATCATCAGCTGCATCATCATCATCATCGTCATCATCATCATCATCATTATCATCATCATCATCATCATCATCATCATCATCGTCATCACCACCACCGTCACCATCGCCATTACCATCACCAGCACCATCAACATCATCAGCAGCATCATAACCATCATCATCATCATCATCATCATCATCATCATCATCATCATCGTCAGCATCACCATCATCATAATCACCATCAACATCATCATCATCATCAGCATCACCATCATCACCATCCTCAACAACCTCACCAGCGTCATCATCATCACCACCATCACCATCACCATCACCATCACCATCCCTGTCACCATCACCATCACCATCACCACCATCATCAGCATCATCATCATCATCCTCATCCTCCTCCTCCTCATCATCATCAGCAGCATAATCATCATCGTCTCCCTCTGCATTAGCCTCGAAGTGACCCCGTGACGAGGAGGAGGAGGAGGAGGAGGAGGAGGAGGAGACCCGTCGTGCTCGGGTCGGAGGAGGGGGAGGAGGAGGAGGAGGAGGAGGAGGAGGAGGAGGAGGAGAAGGAGGAGGAGGAGGAAGAGGAGGGGGGGAAGTCTCTCTTCCTCCCTCCTCCCTACTTGTTGTGCCTGGTGCTGCACAATTTTCGGAATCCGCCTCCACCACGGATCAGCAAGCAAGCAAAGAGAAGGAGGATGAGGAGGAGGAGGATGAGGAGGAGCAAGCAAGGAGAAGGAGGATGAGGAGGAGGAGATGGTATTCGCTTGGGATTCGCTGACGTTCACGATGCCGCACAGAGTAGTAGCAGTCGTACGCAGCCTTAGAGTGGATTCTCCAGCCTCTGGGAAAGTCGCGTGCCAAAAAGGATCCGCACGCTACATCGTTGCACCGTGTCGCACACACAGAGGGCGGGACCGAACAGGCCACGAGGGGCCCGAGCGAACGGGACCGACAGGGGAGCGCACCGAGCCGAGGGCCCGAGGGGCGCGACCGAGGAGGCCGAAAAGGGAAGAGGAGGCGAGCAGGAGGAGGAGGCGCAAGGCCCAGGAGTATAGGGATTACGTCTCTTGGAGTGGGGGGCCTCCGGGGAGCTCTGAGGACCTCCCTTTCCCCCGCCCCCGCTCCTGCTTCTCCTGCTTCTGCTTCTCCTGCTTCTCCTCCTCCTCCTCCTCCTCCTCCTCCTCCTCCTCCACCCCTTTGGGAGGCGCAATGTTCTTGCCTCCTCCTCCACCACTTTTCCTTGTCCGCCACCGTGCCCTTGGTGCCCTTGAGACACGAGTTGGAGAGTCCCCACGTGCCTTGTTCGAGCTCTTGGAGCCTCAGTCCTCAATCCTCAGGCTTCTTTAGGGAAGTTGCCAGATCTTCTGGGGCTTTCCGCGTGCCGCCTGGGGCTTGTCGCGACTTTCCACGTGATTTGGTCGTGGCCAAGTGGGCTCCAAGACGTGCCAGGAGGGCCCCAAGAGGCCTCCCAGTCGGTCTAAGGGGGCCCAGCATCGCCGAACGACTGGTCTAAGACGTGCAAGATGGCCCCAAGACGGCCCCAGAGCCTCGGAGAGGCTCCAAGAGAGCCCCAAGAGCCTTCCCAAGAGGGCACCCGAGGGGCAAAAAATCCATGATGATTGGTTGTTCAATGTGTTTAGAATTCTCGCCTTTCCAAATTTCCGACGCTCCAAGACGGCCCACGAGGCCTCCAAGACAGCCCCAAGACGGCCCAAAGGGGCTCCCGAGGTGGCCCAAGAGGGCCCTAACTAATGCGGCTCAAGAGGCGCCCAAGACGGCCCAAGAGAGCCCCTAGACGGCCCCAAGAGGGGCCCAAGAGGGGGAACCCGCACCGAAAATCCGAGCCTTCCGCCCCAAGAGGCAGCACCTGACCATTAGTGCATACTCGTGCAGGAAGTCGCTCGTTGACGCATGACTGGGTGTATGACTCTGGTCTTCCTCCTCCTCCTCCTCCACCTGCCCACGTCCTCCCTCCTTACCCTCCTCCTCCTCCCCCTCTTCCCTCCTCCTCCCTCCTCCCTCCCCCCCCTCCCTCCTCCTCTCATCCCTCTTTTCCCTGAATCCCCTTTCCCCCCTCCATTTAAGTGCAGTGACCATTATCCTCCCCCCTCCTCCCTCCTCCCCTCCTCCACCTCCTCCTCCTCCTCCTCCTCCTCCTCCTCTCCTCCTCCTCCTCCTCCTCCTCCTCCTCCTCCTCCTCCTCCTCCTCCACCTAATTTCCTTCTTAGTATTCGTCTTATTATTGTTGTCCTTCTCATCGTTTGTTTTTGTTGGTTGCTCTTCTTCTTCTCCTCCCCACGCTCCGCCGCGCCCTGCCCAGAACGAACGGCGGTCCTCCTCCTCGGCCTGCCGCTTCCTCTCGGCCTTCTGCGCCGCCTTCTGCCTGGCGCGCTCCTGGCAGCCCCCCCCCCCCTCCAGGAAGGAGGTCGGCGCCCGGCGGGGGGGCGCAGACGGGCTGCTCGGGCAGCTGGGGACAGTGGTGGTGGCAGTGGTGGAGGTGGAGGAGGAGGAGGAGGAGGAGGAAGAGGAGGAGGAGGTGGTGGAGGTGGTGGTGGTGGTGGTGGCGGCGGCGGTGGTGGTGGTGGTGGCGGTGGTGGTGGTGGTGGCGAGGACGAGGATCATGAGGATCATGAGGATGAGGGTGAGGATGAGGATGAGGATGAGGGTGAGGGTGATGGTGATGCTGACGACGATGATGTCTCAGAAGGCGTCGGGGCTGCGGGGAGGCCCTTCGGATCTTCGGACGGGGCTTCGGGGAAGACTCCGAAGGCTCCTCAGAAGGCAGGAGAAGGAGGAGGAGGAGGAAACAAGGAGGAGAAGGAAGAGGTGGTGATGATGATGACGACGATGATGATGTCGCAGAAGGCGTCGGGGCTGCGGGGAAGCCCTCCAGTCTGCTGAGAAGCCCTCTGTGGCTTCGGGGAAGGCTCCGAAGGCTCCGCGAAGGCAAGATGAGAATGAGAGGAGGCGGAGGAGCAGGAGGATAAGGAGGAGGAGGAGGAGGAGGAGGGTGATGGTGATGGTGATGGTGATGGTGATGGTGATGGTGATGGTGATGGTGATGGTGATGGTGATGGTGATGGTGATGGTGATGGTGATGGTGACGGTGACGGTGACGGTGACGGTGACGGTGACGGTGATGGTGATGGTGATGGTGATGGTGATGGTGATGGTGATGGTGATGGTGATGGGGATGGTGGTGAGAGTGATGGTGATGGTGATTGTGATGATGATGGTGACGGTGATGGTGACGACGATGATGATGTCTCAGAAGGCGGGGGCCTTCGGAGAAGCCCTCCCGCCTTCTGGGAAGCCCTCTATGGCTTCGGGTGTGGCTCAGAAGGCTCTTCAGAAGGCAAAACGAGAAGGAGGAGGGGAATCATGATCGTGATGGTGATGGGGATGGTGGTAGTGTTGATGTTGATGGTGCTGGTGCTGGTGCTGGTGATGACGACGACGACGATGATAATGCCTCAGAAGGCGTCGGAGCTGCAAGGAAGCAACCCAGCCTTCTGAGAAGCTCTCTGCGGCTTCTGGGGAGGCTCAGAAGGCTTCTCAGAGAGCAGGATGATGATGGTGATGGTGATAGTGATGGTGATAGTGATGGTGGTGATGATGATGGTGCTGGCGATGGTGATGGTTGATGGTTGATGGTTGATGGTTGATGGTTGTTGATGGTTGACGGTGACGGTGATGGTGATGGTGATGGTGGTAGTGATGGTGTTGGCGATGGTGATGGTGATGGTGATTGCAAGGGTGATTACGACGACGACGATGGTGATGTCTCAGAAGGCGGCGGGAGCTTCGGGGAGGGCCCAGAGGGCTCATCATAAGACATGATGAGGAGAGGAGGAGCAGAAGGAGGACGAGGAGGGGGAGGAGGAGGACGAGGAGGATGGTGATAATGATGGTAATGGAAATGGTGATGGTGATGGTGATGGTCATAGTGATGGTGATGGTGGTGACGGTGACGGTGATGGTGATGGTGACGGTGATGATGATGGTGACGGTGATGATCATGGTGATGATGATGATGATGATATCTCAGAAGGCTGGACTTCGGGAAAGCCATCCCGCCTTCTAAGAAGCCCTCTGTGGCTTCGGGAAAGGCCCGGAGGGTTCCTCAGAAGACATGAGGATGAGAGGAGGAGGAGGAGGAGGAGGAGGAGGAGGAGCAGAAGGACGACGACGAGGAGGGATGAGGAGGAGGAGGAGGATGGTGATGGTGATGGTGATGGTGATGGTGATGGTGATGGTGATGGTGATGGTGATGGTGATGGTGATGGTGATGGTGATGGTGATGGTGATGGTGATGGTGATGGTGATGGTGATGGTGATGGTGATGGTGATGGTGATGGCGATGGCGACGACGATAGTGATGGTGATGGTGATGGTGATGGGGATGGTGATGGTGATGGTGATGGTGATGATGGTGATGGTGACGGTGATGGTGATGATGACGACGATGATGCCTTCTGAAAAGCCCTCTGTGGCTTCGGGGAAGGCCCAGAGGGCTCCTCAGAAGACGAGGAAGGGGAGGAGGAGGAGGAGGAGGAGGAGGAGGAGGAGCAGGAGCAGGAGGAGGAGGAGGGAAAACAAGGAGGATAGTGATGGTGATGGTGATGGTGATGGTGATGGTGATGGTGGTAATGGTGATGCATGTGAAAAGGAGGAGGAGGAGAAGGTGGAGGCCTTCGGCGCCTCTGAGAAGGCCTCGCGCCCCCGCGGGCGCCCCCCCCCCTGGGCGGCCTCGCGGGGGCCCCTGGTCGGGCCCCCCTGGGCCGTCGCCGGCACAGACGGCTGGGGGTGCCGAAAAAAAACACGGCCCTGGGGAGGTGGTTTGGGAGGAGCCGTGGATACAGGTGGGCGGCCGAAGGGCCGCTCCTGTATGGGGTCCGTAGGTAGGGGTTCCCTTTTTTGCTGGGCGCGGCGCGGCGAGCAGCGCCTCAAGGTTGGCTTGCCAATACCTGAGCCAACACAGTTGCGGAAGGGATGTAATAGGGAAGTGAGCGGACTTCACACACAGGAGCGACGAGAGCTACAGGAGGAGCGCGGCAACGAGAAACCCTCCGCAAAAAAAAACCCAGCCCTGAGGCCCCAGGACGTCCACTGATTGATTCCTGTTGTGGGGAGGTCGCGCTTTCCGTAGCACAACCTTCAAAGCCCAAGAAGCCCTGGGCCCCCCGTGGAAGCAAACAGGATGCGCTTTGGCATGTGATGTCAGCTTGTGACAAACAAATATGTGGGAGGGCGCGTGTTAAAAATCGTTGCCCTGCTCGGGCGACTTGCAGGGTGGCGCCCGCCAGATTGAAAATCAACAGCGGCGGCGCCGGTGATCAA